GAGGTGGAAGAAGTACTCAGATATTCTACTTAAGTAAAAGCAGAAATACAAGAGTGTAGGAATACTCTGTAGTAAAAGTCCTGCATTGAAAAGTATTGGCATCAAAACATACTATAAGTGCCGCGAGTAAAAGTACTTATTATGCAGATTGGCCCATTTCAGAATAATATACATTATATGTTTTATAATTATTGATCATTAAAGTGTTGTCAAAGCTGGTAAAGGTGCAGCTAGTTTGAATGACTTTGTATTCTGCAGGGTAGCTTGTGAATTTACTCCAGGTGGAACTAAAGTCTGATTTAAGTGTTGATTATATTTCACATCATTAATCCAAATCTGTACTAGAGTAACTTAAGGAATTCAATAAATGTAGTGGAGTAAAAGTACAGCATTTACCTCTGAATTGTAGTGGAGTAGAAGTATAAAGTAGCAAAGTACAGTACAAGTAACTCAAAATTGTACTTAAGCACAGTACTTGAGTAAATGTACATAGTTACTTTACACCAATGGTCGTAATAAGGAGCTTTTGTGTTTGAATAAAAGGAAGGAGGAAGAGAGAATTAACCATAACCAAGCATTGTGTGTGTCCTGTGATGGACCACCTATGTATGCAAATAGTAGTTCAAACAATATCTTAGGTCAAATGTGTGGCGTGTGGTAGAGCGTTGGTGTTTGGATCAGGGGAGCACAGGTTCAAACCCCACTGCAGGCAGCATGTCGTTGTGTCCCTGGGCAAGACACTTCACCCCAAATTGCTCCTTTGGGGATTGCCCACAGTATTGAGTATGTAAGTCGCTTTGGATAAAAGCGTCTAACAAGTAACATGTAATGTAATGTAATAAAAATGTAAGAACTAGCCATGAAGACAGGATGAATGACAAATGTGGACCAGTTCATCCAGAATTGAGTTGAACCTGTATCACTGGATCGGTCTGAAATCTGTTCTACCTTTCCTGAACAGTGAGGTTAAGATTCATCATTCATTAACAAGAACGAGCCCAGGAAGCAAATCTTGCTCTGTTCAAATGCAGAAATCTGTAATGTGTTCTCTTAAACTGAGGTTAACTTCCTATCATGTCTCCCATCTACCTTAAGGCCTATTTGACTTAAGAATGGTAAAGTATGAGAAAAAAAAACATGTCCCATGTGTGAAAATACTCAGTTGGGCAAGGTAAAGTGTTGTGAGTTAAGGTAAACTGATATCGAAAAGTAATGTTACCTTTGCCTGTAGCTGTGTAAATACTGCTTTTATTTCCTTAATGACTCATTATAGTCATGAATTAAAGCAGGCGTTAACTGGGCTCGTGGAAGTTTTAGGAAGCATAGATAAACGTTAGCATAGGGAAGAATATCCGTCACAAAAAACGACACGGATGTATACATTCTCATTAATATGTATGAGGAATTTATATTAAAGTTCAAATATTTAAAAATGTCCTGAGGAAACACAGTCGCAATGAAGTTAAACTGCCAGGGAAAAGCTCACTACGTTTAGCGCTAGGTTTTTACGTTCCAGCAAACTGTCGACGTAAACCGTTTTTTGATCTCCAAACTTAACGTTATTAAAATGAAAATTAATATCCACGAAACAGTAATGGTTAATGATTAATTACACATAAAAGTAATCTACCTTTACTTGCACGTCTCAGTCCTTCTTCCTGGTCTTGTTCAACACACAAATGTGTCTTTTTCCGGTGTCGTCTTCTTCTTGTTTCTGTCCCCGCCCTCTTAATGAGAAATTACAACATCTTGATAGTGCAGGTGAGAAAAACGAACATCCCTTTCGATGAACCTAGTTATTCTCAAAAACTGAAAATCAAGTAATCTACTGGACTTCTCAGCAAAAGTAGGCTACGTTAAATAAACTAAAAATATCACTCCTGAAATGAAAAAATATCATTCCATTCAGATTGTATAATTTGAAGAAATTGAGGGAGAGAAAGAGAGAGAGAAACTAGAAAATGCATTTCCTGCAGAAAATGCGTGCGAATGCTGTAAACTGTGAACATTTGTAGCTGAATTTAGCTGAAAATGCAGAAAAAGCTGAATATTTTATTAGCTGAATGGTAGCTGCTTTTAGCTACAAAAACCAAGTAAGTGTTGCTGAATTTAGCAGAGAAATGCAGAAAAGTGGAATGATTTGAATCAAATTGTTACAGCTCAAATGCATTGCAATGACTTCCATGTTAAAAAGTATAACATATTTTGAAAAAGTTGAAGTTTCCCATCATGTGCTGAAAAGGCTGAATAGTTTGATATTTGAATGGTTCCTGCAGCCCATTAAGAATGCATTGAGGATTATATCTGACAATTTTGCCACCTGTTCAAAAACTATGGCTCCTATAAAAAAATGACCAGACCGTGAGCATCAGGGAACCCCAATGAACTGATGTATGTTTGTTTTTTTGGTTTTGTGAGTAAAATGTGGAGATGGGAGCAGTTTGTCTAAAGTGTACTTCTCTCTGCTCTGAAGAAAGATCCGGAAAAATTTAACATGGAAATCAATTGGGAGCTAGGTGGACTTTGTGTCTCTTCATGCCCTCAAGAGGCATTTTGTTTAATTGTCTTAATTTCTTTTTATTTTCCAACCTAGGAGAGGTTTTTCTATGTTTTTCATGAAAAAAAATATGTCTGAGGAGTGTAGGGTTTGGGAATTATGGCAAGTTTAAAACATTTTTTGGGGAGAATTTCAAGAGCTCCTGCACTCTGTTTTGAGATCAAAGCACTCTATACTTAACGAGCTGCTCCATCCACACTAATGTTAAAATCTGAAAAAGGCCTCACTACCAAGCTCCAAACTAAGTTAAATATCTCAAAAATGTTGAATAGCTGAAGGTGTTGTGATCATTTTAAAGTTGGAATGAAGTGTCTAGCTGAAAGTGGAAGGAGTAGCATTTGGCGCAAGGTGTAGGAAAAGAGGATTTGAAGGCATCTCCCATTGACTTCCATGTTAAAAAAAAGAGTTTAAAAAGCTGAATATTTCAAAAAGTATAAAATATTTTTAAAAAGTTGAAGGTTTCCCATCGATTCCTGAAAAGGCTGAATAGTTTAATATTTGAATGGTTTCTGTAGCTGAAAATAAGCTGAAGTTATGGAGAGCCAAAGTATTGGTGAAATAATAATAAGGGGAAGAATAAAGATTCGAAGAACTATAGTGGAATGCTGTGGCATAGCATTCGCACTAAATACAAAAAGTGCAAGAATGTTGGGCATGCTTCTATTCAATTTGTCACTGTGTCACACTAAGTTTGAATCATTTTCATTATTCAAAGGACACATAAGTTCTTCAATTGGCCCATGTAATTGTTAAATATATGTGAGGCCTACTGGGTTATCAAGAAAGTAATGTATTTGTAGGTCCCTATAAAGCACAAATGTGTTATTTCCTTATTCCTGAACTTCACTACCTTATTTCCTTGTAAAGTATTTCATTGGTGATTTACAAAAACTATTTACTATGTAGTCTCTAAAGCATATTCCCTTGTCTTGATGTTTGTGTTTGAGTCACAGAATCAGAATACCTTTATTCGTGCCATGGGGGACATTTCACAATGTTACAGCAAAAGTGAAGATAGAGAAAAAATATATAAAACACTATCAGATAATGGGCATGCACAAAAAATATAAAAAATCATTTAAATTTGTAATAGATTATTCCAATTTACATATTGCACACAAGTGTAATTGCAAAACAGTGGTGTCGTAGTCTTGTTGGTTAATGACACATTCGGGAGAGATTTTTGTGAGAAATCAAATTGAAAATGTAAAATGTTTGGGTACAAATTAATATTTTGAGAGACATCTCCCTATAATCAAAGTGGAAATAAAACAACTGTGTTTGTAGAATTGAGTAAAGAGACTGTGATGTGACGTGTACCTGGGGTTGTTCAGAGGCCTGAGGCCAGTTCAACCAGTGTGACCAGTACTGCATTCTGTCAGCTCAGCGTCACTCAGGCTGTAATAGGAGACACCCCAGGTAAAAATGTTAACAGAGTTTTCAGAAATGCTTTGTTTAGATTACGCAAATTATGCAGTATCATATTAAATATTTGCTTATTTGCATACATTTTCATATCATATATCTGAACACTGGATTAAGCCAGGTTGAAATGTCTCCTTAACCAAAAATATGTGTGACCATATAATATATACTGTTTAGACATCACATATCTTCTTTTGGTGAAAATAAAATAAAAATGTCAAGCAAAGCAATTTTCAATGCCCAATATTAAAAACTAGTATATTTTGCTACATTTCCTCAGGTTTCATAAAATCCACTTACGTTCAGAGATGAATTTACATACTGAATCCACTAGATGGTGCTCTATCCATGTTTTCTTTTTTTATCTGAAGGACCAATGAAGTTACATGACTGTGTAGTTTTCACTTGAAGAACAAGCTGGAGGCCCTTTACTAATATATTTGTATGTTGTTGTCCTTTAATCTCAGGTTGCATGGGTCTTTTAGTAACTTATCTTTTGGGTGAATGCTGTGTTTTGAGTTGTTTGGAAGATTTGTGGATTTTGTTGCTTTATTGCAATGATTATATTTTAATCACTTGTAAAGTGTGGGAAATCTCTTTTTGGTTTCTCCATGTTCAAGGACACTGCAGATATGCTGCCATTATGGGTCATGAAACCACCATGTTGTTTTAAAAGAAGCATCCTGCTCAACAGTAAAGCTGACAAATAAAAACCTCTGACTTCAAACAAAGTGTTTTAACTACAGAGTTTCCCTGGGGGGGGGAAATATGAATTTAGCACAAACAATGTCTTGATCTGAGGTTTTGGTTCCAGTGCTTAACCAGGAGGACCGCATAGAACATGATGGATAGGTACCCAGGTGTATTGGAGCTCTCTACATCACACCAGGTAAACACACTTTGCAGCTCCGTCCACCTGGGTGGCGTAACAGTGGGAGGGAACATACAGTAACAATATTGAGAGAATCCAATGAGGGTGCAGCAGGACGATGCCCCCCCTCCCCCTATTCCCCAAAGGGCCCTGCCTCCCAGCGGACCACTGGGACCGGTGCAGCGGATTGAACGTCTGAGTGCATGTGGGGCCGCTTAAAGAGGTGCGCCGACCAGACGGCACAGACTTTCTCCGTTGAAGAATCAGCGAGATGAAGAGCAGCAACAACCCGGCACCATGCGCTCCAGGCTCCCACGGACCGCCTGCCTATTGCGACTCGTTGCACTCTGCATCCTCCTCTCGAACACTGCAGCTTATTTTGGGTCAGCTGATGTTGTTTTTTTTACTTCTGCCAAACACATTAATTGATTGCCATGTTGTTTTAACCCTTAGAGAAAACAAAACGGCAACCAGTAACCTTAAGCTAAATTACGCACGCGTAATTGCGCAGAAGCTAGTAAGGTGAATTGTTATTATGTTGTTTGAAACCGCTGTAGTTTTTCTAATTGTCATGCTAATGTTTGTGGGTTATCATCACCAGTGTTATTTAAGATGTATATCAACAACATTTGTGTTTTGGCTGTTTTCACGCGTTTTTCTCTGAGTTTGTTAAACTACCGTTGACGTTTTAACTTTATACGGACTTATGCTATATTGTTGACAGTATTTTTACGAGTCCAAAAACTGATATCTATTTGTGTTTTCTATAACATATATATCATATATATATATTTTATTTTTATTTATTTATTTTATTTATGGGAAGAGGAAATAACATTTGCAGGTGGCAAGCAAGTAGAGGAGTAGACAGCGTAAAACTAAGTTACAAATTCATCACAATCACATATTTTCTTTAGGTATAAAGTAACTGCAGTGATGGAATTATTAATGGAAACAATATCACCTTGATCGTGTAGACATACTTCATATCAAATGCTATATGAATGCAACTCACCTCATTTGTTTATCTTTGCATCCCCAGGCTGACAGGACGGGAACCCTTGGTGTTTTTACCTGGTCCGTTTTCCAATGAGCCTCCGACGGGCAAGGCCCACCTGAAGCAGTGCGAGCAGATGACTCTGACCCGGCGGCAGAAGAGGCTGTGTCGCAGGGAGCCGGGTCTGGCAGAGACGCTGCGGGAGTCGGTGCGCCTCAGCCTCCTGGAGTGTCGCTATCAGTTCAGGAACGAGCGCTGGAACTGCAGCCTGGACGGCCGGGGAAGCCTCCTGAAAAGAGGTAAGACTTAAACACCAAGTATTTTTACAGTAGAAAGCATTTAATTAAGCCATCATCCAAAGCGGGTAGTGCTGGGTTCGAACCCGTGACCATTCACTTGCGGATTCATGTCTTTAATCTTTATTTTTTCTTGAGTGACACAGCTGCCAGATGTTTTTTTAAATCTCCAACCCTGACATGACATGCAGTATGCTTTACATCTTTTCAGCTGAGTGTCTCTGAACAGGAGAGCATTATTGGGTGCTGTACCTTGAGGCAATGCAAATGATCTAAAAACCAAAGTGAGACAGGCCTGCAGTGATTGAAGAAATATGATAAGCAGTTGTTTGTCTTCAGTTGAGATATTATGAAAGTTTGGAGGCACGCCAGGAGACAGTTATCAAACATTATTGTTGTTTAACTTTAATAAAATGTTTGTACTGATGTGACATAAGTCACATGACAACACAGAGATAAGGTTAAGATAAAGTAAAAATAGAAGTGTGTATTGTCACAGAAAATAATATAAAATTAACACCAGTTATTGTATTATGTCTATCTTCTAAAACATAACGTTTTTAGAATATTAATTAAAATGGTTGTGTTGTTAATGCCTTACTTATTGCCTTGCTTCCTCCCTGTCGCTGATTTTAAAACACAGCAATACGTTTTAACTCATTTTAAGATATAAGTTTCCTTATTAATTTGAGTTTTGTCCGAACAGGTGACAGTCTAAATCCTTTTTAACATTTTATTTTGTGTTCATTAAGATGTTCTCCACACTCTTTTGCCTTCATACCTCCCCTAAAAAAAGTTTTCCAAAGGTTGTACTGAAATACTTTTTTCTATGACATGCTACAACCATTGATTAGCTACACTTGGGAGAAAAGATCAACATATTGGATATATCTCAAGTCCCCTGTAGGTCTGCTGTGCACAGAAAATGCTTTATGCATACGGATATCAGTGTGTGGGAGAACATGAACAGGTCAGCATGTAGATAATGAGGGAGTAGAAACCCTAGAAATGTGGTGCGGTGGACAAGCGCTCAAGCTCGGTGGTTATTTTTATCCCGGGAAAGCGCCCATTCCCAGAGGAAAAGGGTGGCATGATTAAACCACTTTCATCTGGGAAAATCCTTCCTAGTCAAAATAATAATTAATTGGATCAAAAATATACCCCAGTGACGGCTCTTGGTGAGGCAAATAACAGTGCGTAACCAAAAGGAAAGGTCAGAAGAGGAATTATGACACCAGAAAAACTTGCAGAATAATGCTGAGGTTGTAGCAAACCATGACAACGTAATGAGCTCTCTGTAAACATGTTGATGATTGTAAACCATGAATGAATAGACAGTTTGCCCTCAGAAGGCTTGACACAACTTGCATTTAAAGCTCTGTAAATGTAGCCCTTTAAATGTCCTATAGTCAAAAACAAACTGGTGTTTTTGACTTTTTACACAACATGTTCTAATCTCTCCTATATCTGTCCCAGCATTCAAGGAGACTGCCTTCCTTCTGGCAGTGTCCTCTGCGGCGCTGACTCATGCACTCGCCAAAGCGTGCAGCTCAGGTCGAATGGAGAGGTGCACATGTGACGACTCCCCCGGCATCCAGCATCGAGAAGCGTGGCAGTGGGGGGTCTGCGGGGACAACCTGAAATATAGCACCAAATTTCTAAAGAAGTTCCTCGGCCATAAGAAGGTCAGCAAGGACCTGAGGGCTCAAATCGACGCCCACAACATCAACGTTGGAATTCGGGTGAGTGTGAACAAATAAACCCAAAAAAGATTATAAATGTGACATCGAATGTGCTTCAGCAAAAGAGCCGCCTTGTCCCATTATGGGGAAGTGTCCTCCAGGGGAATCGCAAACATCACCTATATCTGAGCTCAATTAGTTGGGCTGCAATTTTACTTCACAATTATACCTCGTGCGCCATCAGAGGATACAGGATTGCGATCCTCACCTGCATATTTTCCCAGTGCCAGCCAGACAAACACCCCCTTATTTTCTGCTGTCGTTGGCCTTGGTTGGTGGATAACAGAGAGGCAGAGGGTGAGGCGCTGCAGCAGGGAGACAACATGGCTGTGGGATCGTTGGAGCCAGGTGTTCTCAGACATGATAAAGCTTGCTGTGCGGGCCTACAGAAAATTAAAGGTCTCATGTCGGAGAGAACGATTATAACCGTGGCCTCTTTTTAATATACGAGCAAGCATTTTTTTCCACTTACTGGATCACTGTGCTCTTCATAAATCCACCTAATGTTCATAACCACCACTGTGTAGCTCTGAAATAGCAGGCCCCGGGGTCCTGAAGCTCTCACCTAGGTAGAGCCAGTGGAGACAAAAAGAAAAAAAGAAAGCAGGAAGGGGGAACTATCTTATCTCATCTTTACTGAGATAAATGTTTTCCTCACTTTACACCAATGTGGCCAAGAAGAGCTGTGTGAACAACAACATGAGCTGGTTGGCGCTCCCCTCACCTCTCAGTAATGGTGCTCTGAAGCCCCTGAGGGGTTCATACCTGCAAAGGGAGGAACTGAGCAGCACTTTTCAACCAGAAGCCCCCTCTGGCTCCCTCTGTGTGACCTGTGTCTGGCCTCCGTCAAGACAGCGGCTCTCAGGCTGAGTGATCGCGCTCTCATCGCTGACCATCAAGCTCAGTGAACTATTAACCCAAACATCGTCGCACAACCGCCGCTGCATTGTTTTTGGCACTTCTTGCACAGAAATTCTTATCAATGTTTTCCATGAGCAGGCATGTACAAAGAACAGGGTGGAGAGATTCCACTGTCTGCACCGTTTGTCACCTATGCCTCGGGCTTCAGGAAAGAGAGACAGGAGAGAAGCAGACAGAGCTAGTTTCAACACATTGAGAAACAAAAAATTGCAAGAGCTGTCCAAGTGAAAAATGCGAGGTGAATGAAATACGACATTCTGAACAGTCCTCCTCAATCCATTATGTCAACATTTTTGACTGAGGTGGGCTAAAGGCGCAGAATCCGCAGACCACCACCCCTAACCCCCCTACCCACCCTTCAGGAAACTGTCTCCCTCAGTCCAGATAGACCTCCCAGATAAGAGGCCAGGTAATGAATCAAGCTGAACCAACTGACATCTCTGCATTTACCCCCCCCCCCCCCCCCCTCTCCCTTGCTTTTTCTCTCTCCCATCTCAGGCAGTGAAGAGCGGGCTGAAAACAACCTGCAAGTGTCACGGTGTCTCCGGCTCCTGTGCCGTACGGACTTGCTGGAAGCAGCTGTCTCCTTTCCACGACACTGGACGGCTGCTGAAGTACAGGTACGACACGGCAGTGCGAGTGCTGAGTGTCACCAACGAAGCCACCGGGGAGACGGAGCTGGCGGGGCCCCGGCGCCACGGCCAGAGCCTCCGCACCACTGACCTGGTCTTCCTGGAGGACTCCCCTAGCTTCTGCAGGCCCTCGCGGTACTCCCCGGGTACGGGGGGCCGGTCCTGCGCCAAAGACACCAGCTGTCAGAGCCTGTGCTGCGGACGGGGGTACAACACAGCCATGCGCCTCACCAGCCTCTCCTGCCACTGCCAGGTCCGCTGGTGCTGCCACGTGGAGTGTCAGACGTGTGTGAGGGAGGAGGAGGTGTACACCTGCAAGACCGCATAGAAGAAAGTAGAATGATCCTTTGGGAACAGAAACGTGAGAGACATTTTGACGTGGATGAACTATAAGCTCCAATCTCACACAGAGCATGTCTATGCAAATCTCCATTCAGACCTGCATGTTATTTGGGGAGGAATATACACTTGTAATATTATAATATTGCTGTTTTTTTTGCTAATCGTCACCGAATTGATACGCAGCAGCTTTCCTGTAAGTTAGGATGTTTGTAAACTCTGCTTTGGATGCACTGAAATCCCATTTCTTATGGGACTGAGCTCTTAAAACAGGTACTTGGACTGGATGTCACCAGCAGTACGTCGTCTCTAACAGTGATTTTACGTATTGTTATTGCATCGGCCCCTTCCACTTGACTATTTATTGTATCAGTCACTGTTGTACTGCTGCTTTATACCTTAACCTTCTTATAATTGCCACTAAGGCTAACATGGCCTTAAAGGGAATCCACCTGTCTGTCTTTCTGCCTGCTGTGGAGACATTTTTAGGAGTTCATCTTTGATTTAAAAAAAAAAAAAGCACTTAGATTGCTCTTGTTATGTATGATACAAAGATAATAAATCATGGTATGACTATTTAAAGTATATGTTTAAACCGAATCACTGGAAGCTTTGAGGGGTGCCACTGAAATACATTGTAACATGCATAAACAGGGTTATTGTGTAAAGAAACAAGCTGGGTTTTCAGTTGCTCTTATGGAAATGTCTATGGAAATGTCTACATGTAGCCTAATGTGTGCTCAACAGAACAAAAGGAAATACCTGGGGTAATAGTCAGGGAAACACCAAACACTGTCTTTGAAAAACAAAAAAGAATGTTTCATTTCTGAACATACCAACCCTCCTCTCTATTTATAGAAGCACGCACTATGCTATGCTTTCAAGTTTAAAATTGAACTATTCAGTCTTCAAAGTCTAATTTAGCCACATCTTTGTTCTACATGCCTTTGAAGTGGGCTAATCGTTCTCCTTATTTTCCTTAAATGCTAATTAAAGTAAATCCCAGTGTTTACTCACTTATCCCTACATCCACGACAACTCTTACAAGTCCATGTGTGCAGGTCAAAAGTGCACCCAAGAGGTTTATTTTATTGGCCAGTTTATGTTTTGTTTGAGTGATTCTGAACTTTATATATGATATGAATATAACTCATGTCAGGGCTCCAGGCTTATGACAACATGGAATCGTAATTTTTCTACCTCACTTCATCTTTTGGCAAATATCATTAAGATTTATGAGCTATGCAGAGTTATGTCCTGTCCTTTTGCATTTGTTTAAAGATCATAATTTAGATTTTCGTGTACAGTTCTTTTGAATTTTGCTTCAACACATCTCCAAATGTTGTTTTTTTTAATCTTGTTGCATTACGTTCTTATTTAAAATAAATACATACATTTGTAAGAGCGTTGTGTTGTGTCTTGTTCAGTTGCTGTAGGCGGTCACCTTCACAAACATGCACACACACACACACACACACACACACACACACACACACACACACACACACACACACACACTCCACACGCGAGTGCAATACACCTGCCTGAAACTCTGCACCCTGCACCTATGGAGCAAAACCACTTCCTGCTGATACTGCCCTGCCCTCCTTTTCATCTGAAAGGCCTGTGGTCTCGATGCATCACCCTCTAACCGCCCGGGTAAAAGGCACGGGGTGGGTGGGTGTTTGGCACGCATACAGGTGTTGTGCCTCTAGCCAGCACACCAACCGCGATGAAAATCATAATGACGATGATGAAAACGACGATGACTTGGATAAATGCTGTCTAACCGAGCGTTTGACCCCCGTCTCACCATTAGAAAGTTACTTTGGGCTGCACCAGATTGACGATGAGAGCCGTTTACATGCTATTATCCCTGAATCATAACTTTTCCACTCATTTGCAGAGCATCAGTGAAGCTGCAGCACACAGAGGGCTATTGTATGAAGTATTTATAGTGTGTGCTCTGGTGCTTTTGATGCTGCTCTCTAATTACTATGATTACACATTATTATTCCTTATTAGAACATCAACATGAGCCCCCAAGTATTGCAGTGAATTATAGGGCAATTTAAATGGACTCTCAAAGGTTTAATAACATTAAAAACCTTACAATGGATGCACAGTTTATTATATTGTTGGAGCAAATTATCTCTCAGTGTGATGAGTTTACTGCTTGCAGCTATCCCACTGCTTGAGAGACAAACATTAACAATCGTTCTACATGTATCTGAAAATCAAGTATTGGTTATTCTCATTATTGATTTGTCTGCAAATTATTTCTGGATTAACAGTCTATAAAGTATCAGATGATTGTGAAAATATGAAAGTTATGTTTTTAGATGTCCAGTTTGGTCAGTGCACTGGTCAAAGATATTCAGTTTAATATGATATAAAACAGAGAAAGCAGAAAATCTCCATATTTTGAGGAACAAAACAGCCTTTTCTGCTACTTTTTGCATGAAAAAATACTTAAACGGTAAATCCATTAACAAAATAGCTGGCAATTTAATTTTTGGCCGTTTGACCAAAACAAGTAGTAGGATTATTGTTAAAGCTTTAAATAAAAAAAGGTCAATTACGCATAGAATTCTTTGAATGTTTGCTTTTCTTTAGAATATTCAAACGTGACCAAAAGAAAAAAGCAAAGAATTGCATTTTCCGGCATAATAAAAGCATGTATCTCACAATTGTTTTAATTTTGGGGGTTGATCAATTCTCAAAGTTAAATAAACCATTTTAAAACGTGAACAATACATTGTTACTAAGCTGGAAACAGGGCTGTTTTACTTGGCTCACCAAAAGTGGACATTTTTTTGAAGAAATGTGGTTTTAACTGGAAAGCAACAACATGCTTTTGTCTATCTAATAAAAAGAAATATATTACCAATATCAACCCACGCTTTTATCCTTTGCTTCAATATTAATTTCCCCTCTTGGACAATAAAGTTGAAATCTTCAGTTCAGTGCTGCACAAGTGCGTCATCCGTCAGGTCATCCAAGTTCATATGCCGAGACTACTGACTCACTATATTAACTCGCCATATTATAATATTGCGGATCAATATTTAACTTTATTCAACATGAATGCTGTATTTTCATAAAGCGGCGTTCTTCTGAGAAGAGCGGTGGGATGAGAGAGAGGAGTGTGTCGCAGAGAGCGGGTGGACGGGGTTGAGATATTGAGGGACAGAAAGGAAAAATATGAGGATGGAGGGATGAGAAGGGATAGTTTGTGGCCCCGGGAGGCCTATCCCCTGCTGCTGCTGTTGTTGTTTTATAATGAACTCCTAAAGCCTTCATTTCCCTCACTACCCTGAGTCGGGGGGGGTGCAGCGATGGGGGCTGCTGAGTCCACAGCCGGATTCGCACGCACAAGCCCAGAGGGTGGCTGCTTTGAGCGGGGTGGGGGGTTGGACGGAGCAGGGGTGCAACAGGCAAGCTCCTCTGTGTGTGTGTTTGAAAAAGTCCTGACAGCAGACAGGTGAGGGCAGAAAAGGTTTTTGCATATGTGTGTGTGTGCATACTTGCCCTGTGCACACCTGTGGTCACTTCAGCAGGAATGATATGGGAGTGTGTGTTTGTAGTCTGGTTCTCCTGTGCGGGCAGTCAGCCGGCTGTATGCTGGAGCTTCTCTCCGTCACCCTGAATGGCATACACAATGTATGGTCACGCTGGTGGTAACACTATCTCTTGTGTCTGCACTGGCCTGGTTCAGGTAAAGGTTACTACGCTCTGATGGATGAAGAGGAATTGGCACACCGGGGCTGCTGAGGCATTTTTATGAGATATGTATTATATTTGCATTGTTTGGCGAAAAAAAAATATTATCCAAAGCAACATACATAGCTTTCGGGGTTTATACATCACTCATTTGTGTAAGAACAGTAGAAGTTAACTGAAGCGTAGAAGGCTTGGATACTTTGCTCAAGGACACAAAGCGCAAGGCCGTTCCTGTAATCGGAACCTGTGAGCCTCGGGTCAAACATCTACACCCTACACGACTTCCGCCTCTGAGGAGAAGGTGCTGAGATAGCATCAGTGCGGGGCCTAATCCCCACAAAACACTCTGACATGGCACAGAGAAACCATTAAATGATGAACAGGATGAGGGGGGACACAGATTTGGTGCAGAAGAAGAGGTGAGAGAGTGAGAGAGGCAGAGTTGTGAATACGGCATGGGGTAGGAATTTGGAATGTGAAATGACTAATGCAATTGCTCAACCCACAACAAGAACATGCACTGCCTAGAGCTACGACAAGGCTGAGTGCATACCTCTATGGGGGGGCCTAACGCAGAGGCCGGGGTGGACGGGGAGGGTGGCTGAGAGACCTGTGAGACGGTCAAATGAGCGGGCAGCACGGTTGAAATTATGGATTTACGTCTGAGAACAGAGAAGAGATGATTAGAGTAGAATAGATATTTAGTGCAGTCAAGATAGTCAGTGTCATCCTGTAATACCAGAGTCTAGCCTCTACAACTTGGAGAACAGCGTCATGTGAGATGGTCATTTGATTAATTTACCAACAGAAAATGCATATTCTTTCATAACGGATAACAAGTTTAAGTCTGTATTTTAAGCAGAATACCCAAAATGTATACTTCCAATTTCTCTAGATTTGTTCCTTTACAACAATACCCCCTATATGAATTCAACAAAATATATTTGGGTTTTAGGCTGTTAGTCGAACTTTCAGGAAATTATGACAGCATTTGGCAATGTCGGTCTAGATTGAAAAATATCAACTGTTAGATGGATAGCCAGACATTCATGGTTCCCAGATGATGAACCCTAGTGACTTTGGAAACTTTTCATCAGGTCAATATAATATTTGTCCAATACTTTGGTTTATGAACAAATATTGCAAAATTCATGACATTCCCATCGACTGTGGCTGACAAATCAACACGTTAGCCTTTTAAAATCTGAGGTGGTTATCGTTACACCTGCTATACATCAGCTTGTTAGCTTTGTACATGTGAGAATGCTTGAGTAGAGCCTCACAGAGTCTTGAGTCTGACATTTGATTGACCAGATGATGAATCAATTCTTAAAAAAACGCATCAACCGATGGTTCAATTGTGAAACGTAACCTCGCTACATCTTTATTCTGTTCATAAAGAGACATCACCTGACACTGTTGCACATAATTTCCTATGCGCATATACAAGCAACTGTAACGAATGTATAAAATATAAATAAATACATAAATGAATTAAGAATAGGGGTTAAAAGTCAAACATGGATATAACGGGGTTTTTGTTGTGAATACATAACAATTAGTTATATTCAAACATAATCTATTAACTATTTCAAAAACAAAAATTACTTTGAAAGCCTCTTTTAAAAAAAATAGTTTTATGACATTTTTGTAAAATAAAAGTTATATATCATGGAATCAATATATGACAAGTTAATGACTCCAGAAACTTTCAACCGACCCCTTGGCAGAGTGCCACACTGTGAATCCCTGTGTTACATTAGTAAATCAACATTATAAATAAACATTTTCAATCAAAACATCTTGCCCAGCTTGGTAGAAATTGGTTAA